TGCGCAGCGCGCCGTGCCAAAAACACTTGCGACTTACGTGTTTATTTTCAGCCTGTATCTCCGAAACTATTTGAGTCCCCCCCTTATATATATATATATGAAATGACTCGGGAAGACATCCCCAACAACATATTTAAAAATAAAACAAATCGGAGAGGAAGTCGCTTTTATGCATAATTACCATAATTTTTATGTATTGTACTTTTTACCTTTAAAATTGCAACACCTGAGAATCGATATACTTTAGTTTAAATGGCAGGAAATATGTTATGTCGAGTATGTCAAATCATATGTTGCAATTTTAATGTGAAAAAGCGTGTAAAAAGTGCTTCACCAAATTACATACATATGTGTATAAAAGTAACACATTTACATTTGCTGTGTATACTGTGTAGTAAATCTATGTAATTCCGGATAGAGTTTCATTATTTAGCAATTATTTACTGTATAGAAGCATAAAATGCTGTCGTGAACCATTTTGTAACTATAGAAATTTTTACAGTATTATATTCAGTACATTGTAAGGATTAGAAAAATACCTAATAATTTTGTCTAACGTTATACATATAATTTTATTTATCTGTTTTATCGTACTCCTTTATATTTCACGCAATTTTAGAATGTATTTACTAATGGCAATATATTTATCATACTAACGGTACCACGCAATAAGTGTCTAATAAAATAATAGATTGGTCAGAACTAATATTTATCACGTTTCTTTATATTTTATAGTTTAAGCTCAAGCAAGTGTATAATTACTCATCAATTTTTGTCGTTTCCTCTTTGTTTTGGTGAGGAATCTTTGTCTGGGTGTTTTTCAGTATTAAGTTTGGTGCTTGTGACTCATCTTTACGAATATTGTCATCTGTTGTAGAACTTTCAGATGTCTTTGCAGGTCTGTATTTATATATGCCATTATTAATCACGAAGAAATGTATCGCATGTAATGAAGACAATTTAGTTTACAAAATTATCAGAAAGAAATGAAAGAGCAATACTAAGTACAACACACTATTTCTTACAAAAATTGTAATCTCCTGGTATATTCAAATATTTGTAATATTACATTTGTAGTATGAAACATTAATCATTAGTGATGCTGTTACAAGTAAGTTAATGTGCCTCGTATGTATACTTGCCGACAAGAATCCGCATGCTCGTATAAATTTTCATATGTATTCTTAAAGCATTTTATCATTTTGTTGCATCCTTTGCAACGTCTCCCAGTATTGTTGTCTGTTTCATCGAACTTGTTTAATACCTGTGAAGTTCCCATTTGGTTTACCTCACTTGGAGTGAGTTTCACGTGGCTAATAGAAATATAAAAGCAACCAAATTAGTTATTTTTTACCAACACTTAATACTCTTATTATACAATTCATATTTTTTACACATAACTTTATAATTACTACATCTATTTCATATTCGTCAATATTTTAATTGTTTCCGTGTGTATACTTACCGACAAGAACGTAAGTGTGATTTTAAATTCTGTGTAAAAATATATTTCGATATTGTCAATGTTTCATTACAACTTTTACATCTCCTTGTCATTTCGTCGTCTGTTTTCTCGTAGTTGTCCCTTATGTTTGCACGTGCATCTTTTACTTTCCGTATACGCGGGTTCTTAATTGTGAAGTGGCTAATGAAAGAACAAGTAGGGCAAAATTATTATTTTCAATAAGTGAATATTACACTACATCTGAATATTGCTATTATATTCAGACATTCGTTGAATATAATTTTATTTATATCTACTTTATCATACTCATTGATTCAAATATTTATGCAACTTGTGAATTAAAAGATTAAAAGATAAATTAAAATGTACTTACCGACATTTTTTTAATAAGTGTTTAATTAATCGTGACGGAGCAGTTTTTCTTAGAATAGATTTACATCCTTTGCACTTCATATGGTTCTCTGGTGTTTCGTCGAACATTTTCCGTACAGTTTCATTATTTATATTTGTTACATTATATTTGTCAGGGTGTTGAAATTTCAAGTGAGATATTACGACATCCACGTTATTAGATGCAAGATTAAATAGATTTTTACATTTCTTGCAGGTTGCCGTTAACTTGGAGATTTCGTAATTTTGCAGTACCTGATAACGTTCGGGATGTTCGTCTAATTCTGTTATTTCGTGTTTGTAATATAAGTGATCTTTTAAATTTTGTATTGTATCGTTTGGACAGGTAGATACAACTTCTCCACATCGTTTGCACTTTACTGATTCGGTTTTATCTTCTTTGTAATATTTCCATACCCACTCTTGAACGTCAGCCATTTTAGTACTTTTATATTACACAACGTTTTATATCACACAGCGTTGAAATGAGACTACTTTATAAGATGACTCGATGTAACGTTAGCAAACTTCAGCATAGAAGGTCGAAGAGAGAGGTATGATTTCTCGTAATGTAAATATTGGGATAGGTATTTTAAATCTATTTAAGAAATCGGATACCCTGTTTCTGGTTAGTCAGTGTACTAAATTTGTTTTGAAACAAGCGAAACACACATTTATGACAATTTAAGAAAGTCAAGAGAAATTTTACTGTATATATAATAACAACTAAAAAGAGTTTGGAATTAATTAATTTTAGAAATTGGCAACTTATTTGAACTATAATGCGAAGGCAACGATAATAAATCTCGGTAGCAATGCCCTGAATCACCACCAACGAAGAGCGCTGCCAAATAATTCATTGCAATGACACGTTGAGCGGGTTAATAGAATCCTTAGGAATAGTTCATTTTCTGAGCGAATAGTGTAATAATAGCGAGAGAAGGGATTGTGAAAATATGGTACAAATTATCTGGAACTTCTTTCGTACCTCTAAAGTCGGACTCTCATATTTCATATCAGATATGATTTTATCTTTTCCAATATTATACAGTTCGATTAATATTAAGTTTATTATCGACGACACTATAGTGTCATAGACATGTAATTTAGCGGCCAGTGAGCGGAAACCAAACAGAAACAGTTATTGTGTTTTTATTGTTACAATTATTATGTTATAGATCTTTAGCTGCTGTCTAAAATAAGAGTGGACACCCAAATTTTCTATGATACGTTTACAAGTGTCTTTTATTAACTACTAATTACATGTTGTAAAACTAATTACATATTAATTTAATGCCGTGTGTTTGTGTAACGCCATCTTTTTATATATTCGAGTTGCCAATTGCCTAAATTGGACCAGTTTATTTTAAGAAACCGTTAGGAAAATAATTTTTCTTTAAATACGTGTCTCTTATTGTAAACTGGAAAACAACATATTAAAAAGCTTATCAAAACCGGAGAGGGACGCTTCCGATTTTTTCTTGTCAGATCAATTATGAAATGTGTAAAAACATGAAAAAGTCGCGAAAAATTGTTGTCATATACGGAACTTTAGAGCCATCCTCCTCTCGATGGTCTATTACGCGGTGTAAGACCCACGAACTTTTCTCGCTCGTCCTCTTTGCTACCGTCCAAGTTTGGGGTAACTGTTAAGGAGGGAATAATCGGAAGTTTAGGACTATATGAAGCTTTCGGCCGTGCTCTGATCGAACTACTTCCGTCTTTAATGCTGGTTGAAGGTGCACTTATGGATACAGTAGCGGATTTGCTTTGACTTTCCATAGGAGAACTGGAAGAAGTCGTCGTAGCGACAGAAATGGTAGCGGTGGATTTCGCAATAGTAGCAACAGGTTTGATAGCGGTAGTAGTAGTATTAGTAGTGATGGGCTTGGCAGAAATAGTAGCAGTCTGTATGGTGACAGACGTAGTTGTTGCAGTAGTTGCGGCGGTCGTGCGTGTTGTATTGGTTGCAGCAGCTCTGGTAGTAGTAACGGATGTCATGGGAACAACCGAGGTGGTAATTGAGGATTGAATAGCCGTGGATTGAACAGAAGTTGATTGTCCTAAGGAAATAGAACAGTATTAGCAATAAGTGTCACAAATAATCTAAAATATAAAGTAACGTAATGATCATATACTTAAATATTGAATATCATTTTGAATGTTAATAAAGTCGAAAAAGAGACTCTTTATATACTGTTATTGCGATAAATATTACCACATGCCTCAGTGGTCGAATTGGTGAGACGCCCGCCTAGAATGTAGGCAAGCCTAGGTTTAAACTCTGGCTGAGGTAATATTTTTCGCAATAAATTATCTGTCTTATAAAAAATGCTTGATATGGTCAAGAAAATACTGAAGTTGAGTATTATTTGTTCTATAATTATATTCGAGGGAATATAACTTTTTAAATAAATGTTTTCTTCTTTTTGCGAGGAATTTGGCTAACGCGGTTATAATATACACGGAGAGAAAATTTTCTTTTAAAATTTACCCTGAAAATCATATAATCGCGGGACAACATGGTATTTAGAAGAATTTTATGAGTTTTTGAAATTTCGCCATACTAGTAAAATGTATGGTAAAATTTTGAAAAACTCATAAACTTCTTTGAAATGCTATGCTGTTCCACGTTTACATGATTTTCAGGATAAATTTTAAGAGAAAATTCTCTTCGTGTAGCTTATATTTAAATATAAAAGAGTTGAATGAATGTTGAAATATAAAAGAGTTGAATGTTGTGTGTGATCGAGTACCGAGTTGAGTAGGCGTCTTCCTCTTGATTACCCGTGGTGGCGATGAACGAAGCGGTAACAATGGCGCAGTGACCTTTGTCACTTTCTCGTCGACGAAATTGTAGGCTGTAGACGTGGCTGTAGACTGCGTAAAGAAACACTTTTGATAAACAGAGTGTTTAATTCTTATGATGTTTAATTATATAATGTCCGATCGAGAAATACTTGGGAGAAATTACTTTAAGGAATGAAATTATTTATTGCTTTTACATATGCAATTAATTGTTAACTCAGCACCTGAAGTATTGATTCAAAAGGTTGAGAACCAACGCCGTCTTTAATTGGAGTTTTTTCCCGTTTGAGTCCCGACGTTTTAACATTGTCATCGCCCTCAACGATGTCATCTAGCACGTGCAGTATCGTCGCCGCGGTAGTTTCTGGCAATTCAACCGGCACATCTGTCGGCAGAGGACTTTTTTGCGCCAGTCGTTTCGCTTCCTCCATGGCTTTCTTCAGACTCTGCTGATTCTGCAGCGATGCCTTGCTGCAGCTTTTACCGATTTGAGAGCTCTTAACTGCGTTTTTCACGACCTGTAAAATCGAGGAGCGACACTTGCGTTACCTCGATGGAAATAGGTTTGCTGAAAATACTGTGAAATCGATGAAAAGATCGATAAAACAAAAGTTATTGAAACATTACTAAATGTACCTGGGAATAAATCATAATTTTCCTTATAAAATTCAATGTAATACTATGCCATGTAAGGAAAATGAAACGTACTGTTGGAAAGTAATATAAAAATTATGAAATATTTTAGGTGAAATTTACTGAGCTTGACTAATAACTGTATTATTTTGTGACAAAAATAATTTTTCACCGAATTTTCACCGAAATATTGGTAAAGTGATAACGAAACGAGGTCACTTGAGAGAGATTTTCAAATACATTTCAGCAAAAAATGTCACATTATATTTTAAAATATTTCCATCGAGGGTAGCTACTGTCACGGAATAATAAGTTGAGGTTTTTCGTACTTGACTCCAACGATGTTCGGCCGAGGTCAATACAGCTAATCTGGCGATTCTCTTCCATCTCTCAACGTTGCTTTCGTCTACAGGTTGTTGCAGAGCTAGCTCTTCCTGAAGATCGGCATCAGCTGGATTTACCGGACCTGCTACTTGGAAATCTTTCATGAGTCTTCTCTCCCAAACTCTCATCTTTTTGCCCAGTACAGCTAGATTGAGAGAGCAAGCAGCATGAGTTTTGACATAACTTTAAATCCTCGATGAGCTTAAACTTTACTTTAAGCCTATCTTGTTTGTTATTTTGAGTTAAAAAGCGCAAGTATTTGCACAGAAACGCTCACTCTTTTCTTTCTTGTTGACACCGCCAATATCCATGCCGTTTCTATGCAGAATGTCCAGAAGTTCACATCTCCAGGATGACAAATCGGATTTAAGTTCGTGGACATCGTCTTCAGTGACAGGTTCCATTTCATGCTCGCTATGTGCATTCACAACGTAACGCCATATCAAAGCTCTCATGACTGCTCCATATCTACAATACGTACAATTGACAACAGAAAGACACGTATAGCTAAACGTTACGCCATATTATAATAAATAATACTATTCTCTACAGATCAACAATTAAAATATCAGTGGTACATGGAGAGAATTGTCTTGAAATTTACCCTGAAAATCGTATAAGCGTGGGAGAACATGGCATTTTGAAGAACTTCATAAAAGTGTTCTAAAATTACACCATGCGTTTCATCAGTAAAGTGCATATTAAATCGTAATGGCTTGTCCTTAATCCGGAAGCTTGAAAGCCAAAGTGTACATTAAGTATAATTGCTAATAAAATGTATGGTAAAATTTTACAAAACTCTCGTAAAATTCTTCGAGATGCCGTGTTGTCCCACGATTACCCGATTTTCAGGAGAAATTTTAAGAGAACATTCTCTCCGCGTAGATATCTAATGTTATAACCATGAAAATAAATTGCAATTGCATAAGATTTTTGTATTATTATCTCACTTTGGTGCCAAGCACTTCGCAAAGATACTCACTTATGTTCGCGTGCACGTCGACGTTGACTACTGCGTCTACCGAGGCGCTTCTTCTGCAGGCCGAACAATCGGAGAAGCAATTTCGGCGGCGGGAAGATATTGAAGGGCGGCGGAAGGGTTCCGGTGTCCTCGAAGTAACTCATCCATAACTTCGTTCTCGCGAATTTCCACTCGGTGTCGGAATGTTCCTATCGTGTATCAATGCTTCTGCTGATGAGATGATTCAGATCACGAATATCGTTCGAGTTTGTGCCTTACCTCAATAACGGCGTAGCTGTTGCTCATCATAGCTATCAGTAGATTTAGCAGGACAATCACGTTGATCACGGAATACGATCCGAACATCAATAAGCCCCAGAATCGAGTGTATGACTTGATTCCTGAAAATAACAACGTTGGGGTCTCGAAAATAATAACGTTTGGTCTCGCCGATGACAAGGCGTCAGCTTTAGAGGATCATTTTTACATTTGAATTACGTAGGCGTACCAGTGAGCTCGAAGCTTTCGATGCCGACCATACCGAAACTGGCCCAGAAAAGACTCTGGCACGATTCAAATAGATTGCTGAATCTGAAAAAATTTCATAAGAAATGTAATTGAAATATTCGCCGAACTCTTTGCGTTACGTTAAAAAAAAGTAAATGTATTAAAGTGATGTGTTAAATTATTCAATTTTTCCGAGAATTTTTTTCTATACATATTTTAAAAACATTCAGAGCCATGTATTTATTATGGCGTAGATTGTGTGGTCTTAATAAATAATTCATTATTCAATATTACAGATGTGTGAGGGGATACCCAGTTCTGTTATTTTTTTCATGATTATTAGGCGGCGTACACGCGCGTCGGAAGTGTGGCTTGAAAGGAAGAACATGTCTTTCATCCCGTCTGGCAATTCGATTATTCCACTCACCTTCTCCATCTTAAGCAGGCGTCACTGCCGGCGTCCCACGAGGGATCCGACATTCCGCTGTAACACTTCTGCCTCTCCAGTTCCGCAAAATACCACAGTAACTGATTCAAGCCGCAGGCAAAGGCGAATAACACTAAGGTATAAATGAAAAAGAATTTTACGATGTCGATTACCATTCTGCCCAGCGATACCTGGAACGGAAATTGCAAATATCGATAGGAAAACTACTATTATCGTAACACATATACAGAATGATCATTAGGATTGTGTTGAAAGTAAATATGGTTATTACTTCGTAACAAATAGGTATTCGTTTTTATTCGTTTTTATAGAATAAAAAGGAACAAAAATAAATATATAATATATTATATTGTACATTATGTAGGAGCGTCGAGGGAAAATTGAAGTTTTGGTTAATAATCATTTACTTTCAACACAATCCTAATGGTCACCCTGCATATTAAAGCGGGATCAAACGCAGTCAAATGCAGAAGAATGGGAATTTTTAATGCGTAATCTAGCAAAATCCGCGACACAAACGTGATACCTGAAGCGGCCCTAAATGCGGATTGATGCTGAAGAGGTGAACGAGTTTCAAGGCGCTGAAGACATTCGCAGCCGCGAAGAGACCCTCCGCGATCAGCTGCGGATCGAAGTCGCTCCAATTCTCTCTCGGTATTAACGCGGCCGACGAGTCTGTCTGTATCTCGGCGCGCTGCTGAAGATACGCCGCCAATCTGAGAACACCGGTCGCCAAATAGAGCGTATTTCTGGTGAAGTCGATGAAGTTCCACATGTCCCGCAAGTAGCTCTTCAGACCGTCCACGTAAGCCTGCGAGATTTGCGAAATCGCGCGTAACGTGCGTTTAAGCAAACATAGAAGACAGATTTTTATTTGTTCAGGGGGAAAATTATACTCGCTTATTTACTTGGGGGAAAATTATACTTGTTTATCCGCGGACCTCTCTCGTCTCTTCCCATATAAATCCAAGAACGTATAGCACGACGATACTTTCCAGAGGGGTAGGTGCCGCGCCTCTCTGTCGGGCCAAGTAAGCCTCAAGGTTTCTCTTCATTTCCTGAGAGCCCAGGAGTCTGACAATCTCCACTTCAGCACGCTGCGATACCAGCATGAGTACAACTATAGACACGCAGTTAGCCGTTGATTAGATAACTGAGATTTTATTGTAAGACGCTTGTCTTTTTCATAATCGGGGCATTGAAGCTAAAATGTAACTTACACAGGAAAAATAGGTAGGATGACGCATGGACCAAGAATTTCATGAAAGGTCTTCGCATAAGCCGTCCCGTTTTTGATTCCGGCATCAGATAGTACACGATACAATAGAACGGAAATAAAATTGCCGTCTTTGCAAGAATACCGACTCTCTGCACGGCTGACATTCTTCGAAATCCGGGCACCCCTTCGTACCTTTGAGCCAGGTGAGACATTTAAAAATACTTTCTAATCCTTTCGACGAGTAAGTGTCTCTTACATACAATTAATAGACTCTTTGGTTTACCAGATGGCCGCCAAGAGCTGCTGAACGTGAGAATGCGAAACGAATCTTTTCTGCTTATATTCTATGGCTTGCTCCAGTCGAGCTAGTTGCTTGCTAAGCTCGGCATTCTCTTCGTCGGGGTCGTAATTCAGTATGGTATCCAGTTCTGTGGTAGTCCGCACGTGTTGCAGCAAATCGACGGCGAATCTATTCGGAACGATTAGGCTGCAGTATTACATTTGTCGTACGACACATTTTTTTAAGTATGTTGATTGGCTGCAGGATAGAACATTTCTAGATACTCGAGAACTTTGTTATCGTGGAAACAGTGACGCTTGAAAAAATTGTCCTACGACAAATGTAACACCGGCCTCATAATTATTGATCAGGCGTACAATATTACAATCGTATCGTGCGAAGTAGAAGAGAAAACTTACTTCTCTACCTGTCGCCGTAGTTTCAAGTACTCGGCTCTACTCTCCGGTTCCGATATAGCCAGTTCCCTAAGTTCCCAGCTTAACTGGAAAGCTGTCATTAAGGGATCCGTCGAGCTCAGGGCTATTAAACTTGGACTCGCTAAAGCCTTATATTCAGAGATTCTAGTGGACGACAGTCTTAATGGATCGCCTAAATAACAATGCCGATTATATCTTCGATAATTTAAACATTTTCTAAACTTTCCCCTAAAGAAATAAGGTTTGTCGAAGTGTCTCTCACCGATGGTTGCCTCAAGACAATCGTCGCAGCCACACCTCACGTCGTGCGGCATCGGCAAGGTAGCTCCTCTATCCAGCAGAAGCTTCAAGATTTCGTAATTATTACGCTGCGCCGCGAGCACCAGGGGCGTCATGTCCATCGAGTATCTGGCTGATGCCGGATCAACCTTCTGCCAGCTGTGTACGATCTGCTTTTCGGCTGCAAGCAAGACGCGAAGGGCAGATAATAGCTCAACAGCACCGCTAAGGGCCTCAGCAGAATGGCTGTCTTGTACTCTTAAGACAATGCTTTATGTTTGAAATCTTTGTCTCAAGCCCGATCTACAATGTGCTCTTTGCGTCTAGAAACATACTGTTTTATAAACACGTTTAAAAGATTTGTGCGAGCTGACAAGCTGTATATTATACATATACAAATTGTAGTATGTATATTATACATTGTACAATCGTGCATTGTCTTTTAAGCGTATCGATTCGCCTGTTTAATTAAAGTAGAATGTTTCTCGTTGCGAAAAAAACGCATTGTAGATTAGACTTTACCCTTATGAAAAAATACACTCAATCATACGTTGACGGTCCGAAATAACCATCAGATTGAGTGTAAACCTTCATAATCGAGTGTTTCATGAAGGTTTATACTCAATTTGATGGTTATTTCGGACCGTCAACGTGTGATTGAGTGTATTTTTTCATAAGGGTAAAGTAACGCACAAACTGTCTTGTGTCTTAAGAATACAAGACAGCCATTCTGCTCAGGTCCTAAGAATACGATTTGTTAGAATCAACACAATTGTCCAGGATTTCTGATTTCTTTTACTTATATTTTTACAATCTGGACAATCTCGACTTACAAGTCTCGGTTATTTGACTCGTAAGGAGTTCCTCGTGTTCCAGCAGCAGCTCTACCGCCTCTACGAATTCCTGATCGATGGCATGGAGTAAGGCATCCTTAGTTTCGACCCCCATGACGACGAGCAGCTCGACCATTTCTAAATTTTCCGCCTCTATGGCCAGCGTAAGGGCACTGCGACCCAGACTATCTACGCAATTCACGTCCAGCTGTTTTCCCTAAAATGTTCGAGCATACTCATTTCGGTGTGTCCCACACATTCCTACGAAATTGCTGCTACAACTTATATCCGTGAAATATTTTCAGAATTCTATCGCATTAAACGTCAGTTTGTTATTTAACGAAAAAAAAAAAATTAAAGTCCTAGTTCGAGCAAATTTTATCGATTTCAGAAAAGGTTGTGTTTTAAAATGTATTCTGATATTTTCTTTCTTCGCAAAATCGGACAGTCTTATTTACTTAGAGTTCATTTTGTTTTCGCATTGATTTCCTTTGTCTTAGAGTCATTATTTAAAAATATCGCATTCTCGAAAAATCTAAACGCGATTCTTAATGCATTTTTTTCGCCCATGAAAGGGGGATTTTGGATTGAGTTTAATTGATTTCCTTTATATTAGAGTCAATATTTACCTTGCCCTTGCTTGCAAGCTGCAGAAGCCTCTTCACATTGGGCATATCCCCTCTTTCTACGGCCAGTAGGTACTTCTTTTCTTCGAGATTGAGCGGACGTGGGAGGTGAAGCACATAATCGCTCGTGTCCTGGGCCGCGGCTTCTGCGTCTTTATCGCTCGTCGCGTCGCTCATCCTGAGGTGTTCAGCTCACTTTCTTATCCCAACAACGATTAGTTCCGATTTCACTTAAACCGTTCGCGCACCAAGGATGACTATCGAAAGAATTTTTCCCTTTCATCGGCGCATCGAGGGAGCACCGCGAAGCTCCGAGCAGCTTCGCGAAGGACAACGACGGTTCCACGGAGAGGAGGCGATTCTGCGTGGCAGAAGAATGGCGCGACATTCGCGGTGAAAATGTCGTCTCGCTTTTGCGCGAGCTTTTGCGATGCGTGACACCTGTTATATAGAGGATGATGAAAATCGAATTACGCGTATTAATGTAGATGTAGACCCTGTTTGTCGCGGCGCGTGGCGCAGATGGCGACGGGGGGTCTGTAACGCCACCGCCGTTACTTGTGATAGTGCACCTGTGCCTGTTGACTAATTTGCTTACCGATATCTCGTTAGTCGTCTAACGGATTGCACTTGGAATAAGAGCGCGCTCGCCAGAAACGAGGAAATGGCGCGAGGCGAAGTAAACCACGAACGCGAGGCGGCCGCAGGGACTAAGCCGGATAATTCCCTCTATTGCCCTACGCATTACATAATATTCCAGCAGCCTTGGTGTGTTGAAACAACAACCTCATTATGCGATCGATTTCGCAGGCTGCTCCGAAAATCCCCAGCGTCCCCTTGACCGTAATTTCTACGATCGATTTCGAGAGTTCTTCTTTAGTTTCTCTTAAAGAGTTTATGTCATTTTCATTGTACCGCCGTAATTTCTAACGTTACAAGACCATTTGCATCCCCAAGCGACGAATTAATGTATCTTTAATAGTCCACTCGTAAGGTAAATGCTCCGATAGCAGCGAACACGTGTAACAAAGAAAGCGCAATTGTATTAAAATCTAAACTGTTCAATGTGACATTCATGTGGAAATCAGATGCAGCTGTTAAAATCTGCGGTGTTCCATGTCGACGGTAAAATCGCGCGGCGAGAACCGCATGGAGAACGCAAGAGCAATGCTGTGCAAACATTTGGCCCACTACGGGGTGCGACATATTCAGTTGTCATGCCAGGGAAATATTTGAGTTGCGAAGCGAATTGCGATGCTGAGAAACAGTCGTAACCCATTAATACGGGACGCTTAACGATCCCGCGCGATACGCAGAGCGGATTAATAATCCTCATTATGCGGCAGAGAGCTTCATTATGCGAAATCCGGAATTAAAGTAGTCCTTTCGTAGCTTATCGGCTTTTCCGCGGCGGCGGAAAATGAAAATGAGATGAGGGTTGCATCACGACGGGACGGGCGTTTCGGAGAAAAAGAGTAGAGAAGAGACGGTAATTGTTTGCGTGGCGGCTTGGTCTTTCCAGCCATGGTTACGCCCGATATTTGTTCAGTAGCTCAATCCGAGGGCTTTGGCGTCTAGTGATTAAGACTGTTCACGTTCCTTGCGTTTCTCCCCTTATCCTCCATTTATCCCCTTGTTGTAGTGCTTTTTACGTTTTCAGCATTTCAGAAATCGTCCTGAAAAAGTAAAAGAATGGCAATCACCTTAACAGACGTAATTTTCACTTTTAGAAACTATCTAAAATTTTTTGGCCAATTAATTATTTTTCAAGTTATTTAATTATTTATTGTATCAATAAATTGCAAGAATTGTATCGATAAATTGCATTCAAATGTGCACCAATCGATCGGATTAGACAAATTAAAATTACGCTGATTACTTACAAGCTGAGAAAATAATAAGTAGATGAATTAAGATTCGAAGCGTTAATGACCGAAGGCGAGAGCAAGAGATGTATACCTCGCTCGCAATTTTCTTCTTGCTAACACCGCAAATAATAAGCGCGGCGGGTGAAAGTAGCGACGACAAACTAAGAAAACGCGTCCTTTTTTTCACTCTTCCGCGCCGTCATCCTCCGGCCGGAAGAGGAAAGTCCTTTCGGCGACTGGCAGGAAAAACAGACGTTCGCCTGACTGACGGCGGCGAGGAAAAACGTGCGATGACAGGAAGTACCAGCGCAATAAATCGGAGCCACGATTGCAAGTGCATCTCAGTGCTCATCTTATACCTCGCATACCGAACATCTTATTCTACGCCGCATTGAAATGACGCCATGCATTATCGAATTGAGGATACTGTGGTTATTGTTGACCCTGACGGTTCTTCTCGATGGTTGGCCGGCGACGAGGAAGGTCAGCAGGGCTCCGGTCGGTTTCCGGTATTCCAAGGATCTGACTGCGGCGGCTACAGGTCACGGTGGTACGTATTGCAGCTGTCATCTTGTTCGTTGTGTATGTTACACAAATTTTCAACAATTGGAGCACTATTGCAACGGCATATTCCTGAGAATCAAATCAAGTAAAAAAAGTCCTATACTAGTTTTCCCTCCGACAGTTACCGAGATATCAGAAGCTGAATATTGAAAAAGAATATTATCAAGTTTCTCTTGAATATCTCAAAAAGTGTTATAACATGATTTTGGAGATGCCTATAGGCAAATAAAAAATGTTTCAGGCAAAAGTTGTTCATATTAATTAGTATTATAAGATAATATGATGAACAATAGGGGGTTCCGTTTAAGAAATTTAAGATGACCTTCACGTGATCTTGACAACGCCATTCAAGGTCATACTGATAATGCTATATGTAATGCGTTACTTGAAACCCTACAACTTTTGTCTGAAAAGTTTTCCTTTGGAGCTTATACGTTTTGAGATATTCTACGTGTTTAACTCAGAGGAAACGCCCTGTATGTACTTAACTTCATTATTTGTCGACGAAGCAAATGGATTTACCCGCGAAACAATTTAAATTGTTGAGTCTTAGCTGCAAAAATTGTATATATTTATGCATACGTGCCACGTTCTCTTTCACGATAAATGAAACAACCGTTTTTGACATCGACGAGCGGAAATCCAATCGCAAGAGCGGAGCTTACGGTGGATTATGCGGCTTTGTCGCCGATCGTGCTAATTTGTACGTGTCAGAGAATTAGAAGCGCACTCGAATCCCATACTGTTTTAAACATGTGTGTCTGCTACGAATTTAATCTTTAACGATAGATTTGTGTTTATTTTTATTCCCTATTGCAATTCAAACGATTTTGTTATTTCATATTTGCGAGGTCTCCGGAACAAACAATACCGGTTAAAATTATATCACCTTTTCATTTTTGAAACACAACTAGTTAAAAATACACGAAAGAAAAATTCGAAATTCATGGTACATTTCACGTTCGACATACGTTCGTGTTGTGACGATCTTTTTTGTATAACTTAAGCTTCTGCCCACAAATTATATTTATTTATTTTTAATTATTAATGTTGCGATACAAATAATCTATATTGTTGCACGTTAGACATCATTGAAAAGGATCACATTGATCGAAACGTTTGACTTGTTCAACTGTGTTAAACATTAAATCTAATATTATATCTGCACCCAACTAGCGTTTGGCTCTTATTGCTTCTCTATGCTTATTAACTTAAATGTTTATCAACAGAGCCATAATATTTACTAAGTAATGGTATCAATACTTTTCATGTAAAAGACGCGCCTGTTATCAGGTGTCTACTGTAAAATTTTGAGCACATTCGATGCACTTTGACGAAAGTTATGTATATCAAAAAAGGGGATATAATTTTGGCCGGTACTGTATATTACGTACGTCACGAGAGTTAATTTATTCAACAAGGTAAAATATTCAAGACACTTAGGCATCGTCGGCAGTGCTTGCCGCACTTTCTCATTAATTAAAAAAAGCTAATTTCATTACTGATATTTCTTTCTTGTCCGCCTGGCAAGTTAAAGCTACCGTATTTGCAAGTATAAACGGATGACCCTGAATTGTGCGCGAGAAATGAAAAGGACTCGATGGAGACCTCGTTTCTCGGGTAAACGATCTGCTTTCCGAGGCGCGAATCGAGAGGTTCGTTAAACGAGAAGGAGAGAGAACGGTCTCTCACACCGACGATAAAGCCCCAGTAGCTTTATTTACATTTTATTTTATTCGAACAGGCGGCAACAGGCATCACGAGGAGGGTGCCGGCTCGAAGCACGACGAGGACCACCACGACGCGCACGGCCACAAGGGTGATAAGGTACAGCGCTTCGTTCTCCGACTGCCATCGACTTCCAGGCCGTTGTCATTCACGTCGCCGTCGACGGCTTCTTCCCCCTTTTATCGCTTGTAATATAAGCGCCCATGGTGCGCTCCCGTTCCCCTCGCTCGCCACTACAAGAATATATATTGCACGGTTTTTTCTCCTTTGCACGAATATTGTACCCGAGGAACGAGACGGGCCTCGACCTAAAAATGCATTTGGCGCTCGACTATAAACTATTTTTATCCCCTTTGTACGTCGAACATCTCCCGATATCGTTTTATATTTTCGCGAATCCCTCTCGCTGTGTTCACCGCGGGGAGAGCGAGCCGCTGATTTCATTGGTATTCTAACAATGTCGCGAGTCCGACGTCGACGCTTTTTAATGAAAAAAGGGGGTCTCAGCCACGAGCCCGGCATGTTTTTCACAAAATCTATCTCCGTTCTTCGTTGTCCCGTTATTATTATTATATATTAATCCTTTAACAGTAATAAACTCGTAATAACTACTCTTTTATATGAAAAATGTCTTTCAAGCTTTCCAATAACTTCAATTGAGACAGGGCTACAAGACTTTCCACGAATTCGAGAAAAGCGACAAGGGACACCACGATAAGGAGAAGCACAAGCAGGAGTACGACGAGGAAGATGGCGAGGAAAAGAAGAACCACGAAGAAGCTGGCCATTACGGCGAGGAGCACCATGGCGAGGAGGGTGAGAAGAACGCGAAATTTGGTGAAGAGGGCAAGCATCAAAAGGGGTACAGCACGAAAGGAGAACACAGCGTCTTCAAGAAGGTACACGATTTGTGCAATATGCGCCTCGCCTCGTCCCTCACTGTAAATCGCGTGCTCAAAATCCATTTCGTTTCGTTAATATTCATTGCAATTTAGAAAACACCTTGATTACAATATCTTTGTGATACATAAAACAAGATAGTATATATTTGTGTGGATATTAAAGCTTCCAAAGATTACAAGCTCAAATGCGCAAGGCTTCTGTTGTTCGGTAGGTATAACTGTCTGGGCTTCTATGTGATGACTTCCTGTTTGCATTTAACATTCTAATAATTTAATACCTCAAGTTCTGCGTGTTAACGGACCGTGTTAATATAATTTTGTCTTCGAGAATTTTGTAACGACATTGCAATTAATTATTATCGTGTTGTTTCGTTAAGAATAAATTTTAGATGTACTTATTTGTAGAATGAAGAATATACTGTTGCAACTGCTAATGAACATTTTAATATGAGCAAAATTTTAATATTTGTTATATATCCAAATTAACATAATTGCTTCCAGGATGAATACGAGAAAAAGCACGATTTTTATGACGAATACCACGAGGACGGAGGAAGCGAGAAGCACGGTGGCTGGCACGAAGAACACGAGGGCAAGAAGGGCGGCCACGAAAAGAAAGGATCTCTGCACGCGGGACACCACGAGGTCGTTATTCATAAAAATTATTATGAGAATATCGTAAAAGTGTTATCTTGCTTTCTGAAACAGTCAAACGTTAATTCGTTGCCGCACTGAAAAAAATTTCTGGTTGAATATGGACGAATCAGATAATTCCTTTAGGATTTACCAGAATTCCTTTAGGATTTACCAGAATTTCTGTAGGATTACAGGAATTCTAGTAAATCCTAAAGGAATTCTGGTAAATCCTAAAGGAATTATCTGATTCGTCCATATTCAACCAGACATTTTTTTCAGTGCGTTAATACTGCAATTTTGTTCTTATTTTAGGGCCATCACGGGGCAGAAAAGAAGCACGAGGGAGGTCATCATCATCATGAGAAGAAAGGTCACAAATCGGCAGAGGGGCACGACAGCCATCACGACCACGATGAGAAACACGGCCACAAAGAAGGGCATACGTCAGGGCATAAATGGTCAAAATCAAATCATCGTTGACGAGACGCGACAACATTTACTTTTACATAATCGAATGTATTTTACCTACGTCCGTCCCGTTGAGAATTTTGCGAATAGATCGAAACTGCATAGCTGGAGCAGTATCGATTGTCGTATATCAGGTGCGTCGAGTTTATCGAGGAAACTAATGGCAATAATAATTTTATTCCTGTTATCAAACTACTGGCATACAAAATTTGTCGCTAGTTTTCACAGTTATTTATGTAAGTTTCGTTTTTAATATGTGTATGTACTTAAATGTAATGTAAAAATATGATAAATATGGTCGTCTGTCTAAAGCCAGATAATGTCTCGAACAAACCTCGGACGTCATGCTGTCACTCCTTTCATCGACGCTGATCGCTGGGAAAAGTGAAAATCTGAGCGTAAAACTAGTCGCGCTTGGGTGCATGTTACATTGTGCGAGCAAACAGCTCGTACATTGCAGATGTATGGTATCGAGGCATTCTTGCGAGCCTCTGTTTTCTTCAGTGATTGGAAAATAACATTCCTATTTTATTTTAGCACGCTTTCATAATTAAAACGATGTGATTTTTAATCGCATCTGCGTTCCTTTCTGGATATATAACGGTGTTAATTAACTTTCAAACGGATCGCTATTCTCAAAGGAAACCCTCCAATCAGATTTTAATGGGTTAATAAACTCCCGCAAAATCCATTTTGGCGTTTCGAACCCCCTCGATGAAAACAGATGGTTATTCAAATAGGAGTAATTAATCTCAAGTTGATTACGTAACCACAATCAAGTAAAGTGATTAACAAGAGAGATTGCCCACTGATCTTGCCGCGATAGATTTAGCAGTTCACAGAATACAAAATAACAGTCATAACTTTACGTAGAATGCAAATAAAATTTTATAACGTGGCGCCATCACAAAATAATGATATAATAATTGAGCGCGTAGCGTTTACCATGTTGAAAAATTTACATTATTGCGAAGACATATGTTGTTTCCGTTGCGCTGTTATGAATCTTCACTCTACATGCGTGCTCCTGCTTCGTGTTATCTTCGTTTCTATTATCTAGCGTTTCCATAATTAATGCGAACGATATATTGGCACAATCGTTCGCAACGTGTGGTATGTAAATCCCGCTATAACGTAGGCATATTACAGAGAGGATTGATCAAAATGTAATTGTGCCCGATGGCCCTATTTTCTGGTGAATTTACCCGACTATCAAACTTACTCTAGCAATCGAGCTTTGTGCGTACAGGCTGATCTGCCGGCATCACGCGCAGCGATTGGTTTGACGTTTATCCGTAATGCTAACGCAAAATCTAAATATTGCTGAATAATTATTCCTCAAGTCGGTCTGCTGTCGCACCTAATACAACAGGTACAGTAGCAAAATATTAGCTATCACAACTAAATATTACCTGTATTTTACAAATGAAAAGTTACCAGCTGTTTTTAGCTACAGCGCTAAATTTTTTTTGTGCACCTGTCCTTTTTAGCTACATCTTGCTCGGACCTAAAAATTAGCATTCTCGGTTCTTATTCGATTGATATTTAATAATTTAAAAAATTTAATATTTTTTTCTATTGTCGCAATGTGCAGCGTATCCACGTTATTCTCAAAATTTGTGTTCGATATACTGCAAAGTTTCTAATTCTAGTTGAATACATGCGCACATGTTGAAGGGTTGAAATTAAATAGAGGTACAAGTAGAAGCTTTTCACAAAGAAAGGGAAAAGGAAATGACTGCAGAAAGGACTGCTAAAAGGAATAAACCTATTAAGTTGGTTATTTCTATTATTGCATCGCCAGGGAATTTTCGGGGAGTCTTTAATTTGCGAGGCCAGGGAGGCAAGGGTAATGTTTCATGCGGCGTTTCCGCCTTTCCGAGTCCCCCGCGTCCGATTTTTACGATGTCGCGCGTTGAATTTCACACGGGAATAAGAAAGACCGTTGCGTATAACGAGGTCAGTAAGCATCCGTCGTCGCGAATACCACCGGGACGATGGGTCCGCCGAGATTGCACCGTGGGATTATTAAAGATGACTGTTTGCCGGAGTAGGATCCATCGTCAGAAAACTGTCAGAATCGCTTCATGCGCCTGACGTAGGTCCATGAATTCTGCTCTCTCGGGCGAGCCGAGGAGATGTTATAGTTACATCCATTGATTTCTGTGATTCTACACAGGGCATCCCAGATCGTGCGTTATCTTTCGTTCATCGATTTTTCGACCAATTATAAGAAACTGATAGACCGCAAATTTTAAATGTTTAAATGTTAAAAATTTATTATTCGCAAAGCTCGTTAAAATATACTCAAAATTAAATTACAGATAAAGTTCTTATTTGGTTGGAATTTTTTTCTTGCTAGACTTTCCCTCTATTTTCTCTGTCTTAAATGACTTGGAAAAGAAATTGGCTCGTTGTTTTTTTTTTCAAGGAAAGATCAATAAGTCGAGGAATCTATAAAACGTAAATACAACGGTGTTACGTATTCAAAAAGTTTGATATTATATTGATTGGCGATTTTGTCACTTTATACAAAGAAAAATATTATATTTATTACGACAATAATTATTCAATATCGTTTAATCGACGATAAACTTTCCTCTGTTATTTCGAAATGCTATTGCAGGCGCCTTCCCGAATCGCATTCATCGAAGTTTCGAAATGTTTCTACCGTGGCAACGACTACTTGCATAACAAATTCTCTTCAATTACGTCTTTTAATTAAGGCGCAGTCTGGGGTTGCCGAACGTTGACGCGGTACACAGGTAACTATAACTGTTCCATTTAGGCTTGAATGAACGCAAAAATTCGACGTAACGTCGCGTGAAAAGTCGCGCCAAGAAACTTTTTTTTTCACTTTGGCTGACGTAATTAATCTAAATTTTGTCTAAACGAACAAAATGTCTTTATATCCAAAGTTATAATATTATTGTCTTAAAGCTTCTTTAAAGGAACATTATTAAAATTCATAAGGCTCTGACGTGAAATTATCAACTAATCAAATCAATTTAAAAACAATTAAAATTAGTTAGACACTAACATCCTCGGCTCTTATATACTTTATTGTACTTCGTATTCGTGATTTCACGTCAGAGCCTTACAGAATTTTATTATTAAAATTGCCTTAGAAGAATACGATATTTTGATATTTTAAAAGCGGAAAAGAGGAATAAAATACAGCGACAAAGGGAAAAGCATACGCGGGCATGTAACAAAATGTATCGCAAAGCGTATCGGTTTTCGACCTGTCGGAGCATTGTGGAGAATAAGAAGAAGATAATTATGTTCCGCTCTTTGCAAATAATGGCCTGTGGTTTATTTGCTCGGTCAAATCCTATCGCGGCTAGCGTAATTTGCTCTGTTCGCACGATATCCTTTGAAGTAATCTACGTGACGCCGGAAACCGCAGGAGATCGTGTGTGACTTTACGCGATGCACACACTGGTGTCCGGCGCGCGAAGGTGTAACGTTAATCCGACAGCGGACTATGAAAATTCGACAGTGCGTCCGCACGGAAATGCAAAATTCACCGGCGTTCAATGGACTTGTCAGTGGCGATTGTTCCGATTTCCATTAAACAATAATATAAATTCAATTCCGGCAGCTGCGTTCCACGGTGTTTCACGCTTTTTGACGAATCGAGCAACGCGAGTGCAAAATACTGTATGTAAATGTTCGTGTCCGGCCGCCGCCGACAGAAGTGGAGCACGGAAGAAATCGTACAAGTAAAATCGTGAATCGCATACCATTTCCTCCGTGTTACGATACTCGGCGTAAGAAAAAAGGAACGCAGCGCGTTGCACAAGGCGCGTTAATAATAGACTAAATAATGAGAGATCGGGATGTGCTTTCAGATCGGCTCCGGCCGAGCGACGATCTTGTGCAACCAACAGAGAAAGGAGGAAGCCGAATCGAAGGAGCGATCGATGCAGGACCGATTGCCGGCGGTTCCTTCGACACTCCGAGGTGCCTAATCGCTGTGAAACTGTCATATCATTCGCGAACGGTTTTCTGATAGAGGAAACGAGTCGATATAATTGCCTGGCCGCGTCAGCAACGCGGTTCAGTCTTTGTCGCGGGCTCGGCGAATGATGAAAACCTGCCGGAAGCTGGTAGCCATGGTGCTACTGTTGCTAATCCACTTGGTAATGTCGATAACGGTATCTCGGGGTCTTAACGACAATCAATCTGAACGCCTTTATGAAGTGAGCGCGGGGAATAAGGGCAACCGTCCGACATGGATTCGATTAATTTCTCTCGTAGCGCGCGACGTGACGTTTTGCAACGATATACGTACGATATAACACCTCGCCACACGAACGGCAAAATAAATAATTCGCAGTAAATGTGCAAACGCGGGGGCTGTCAGCGGCAAAGGTTGACGCGTGTTTACGTCAACTTTTAATTAGAACGGTGGAGTGAGAGAGGCAATAAAGTGGTACGGTGCCGAATATGTGAAACATACACGGAATCTTGCCCGAGCTGACGTTAATCTAATTAATATGCGTCACACATTTAGCGCTAATAAATTTTATCGCGCTCGTGAATAATTAATTAATCGCTCTTGCCGCGCGCGTAAGTACACGCGACAGTTGAAGAAGACTGTCGAATCGGGATTTAACGGACGTTTCGCGGCCCGTAAAGCCCGTATCGGACTGCGGAGTGAGATTGAGATTAGATTGAAATTTGACCAATGAGATTAGTAAACTTTACTCCGATTGGTCAAATTTCAATCTAATCTCAATCCCAACCCGTAGTCTGATACGGGCTTGAAGGCCTGAGTCAGAGTGGATTGGCGATTGGCGATTGTCCTCTAGCCAATGAGAGTCGATTAGATCGCTGGCTTCGCTCTCATTGGCCAGAAGACAATCGCCAATCGCCAATCCCAATTCAATCCGCGTCGACAATCGCTAGTCTGATTCGGCCTTTAAACAATGCGTTTAATTTGTATATTTAACGTAATAAAGTCTACACAATTAACGCCAACTTGTTTGCAGCTGACGTTACAAATCGGTGACGCAGGACGCGACCACACGAACGTTTCGGCCGCCAGAAGCGAGCCGAAAATCATTCTGGAGGAGGTAATCGTGGCCGGAAGTGGCAATAACACTCGCGTAATCGCGAACGCGGTGGCGGAAGATGCAGCGGGGCTCGACGGTGAGATGCTCTCGCTTCTGTCTAAGCGCGAGCTACGAAGGAGCGGACGCTCGAATTCGGATCGGGACGATCAGGACGCGGCACAGTCGGGCGACGCGCTCGTCAACGCGAACGAGGAGGACGATCTCGAGGTAATGAGTCGCGTGATCGCCAAGTACGAGCCGCAGAGACTCACGTCGAGAAAGACCAAGAGGAAAATTGTCGACGGTTCGAACAGCACTGACGGTAAATACAACAAAATTACTTTTCTCTCGACGTTATAGCAGCTCGGAGGAACCGCTCTGTACGTCCTTGTACGTACAGCGAAAGTTCAATTTCTATATTTGCTCCTTTAGATGCCGGCGATAAGGTCGCGGGGTCGATAACGGATCTGGAGAGGACTTACGCCGAGATACTGAGAAATATATCGCGGCAAGCGCCGGAATTGTCGGCGAACAATGCCGACGCGAATCCCTATTTATCCCAGGCGGCGAAGCAACTCAGGCAGATTTACATTCCGGAGGTGACGATCCGTCCGGCGACCAGCGACGGGGCGGAGAAGTCGCACTCCGGTATCGACTCTTCTCCCGCATCGCCCGTTCTGAGCAAGAAGTCGACGAGGTTGCCTAAAAAATATTCAAAATTAAATCGCACCGCCCCGGCTCCGCGATTCTCATCGGCCGAGGAGGCAGAGTCCGACGAGAAATCCGCCGGCGCGCTCAAGGTATCCAACAGGAAAACGAAGCCGAGGAACGGATCGTTAGCTGTACCAACGTCAGTTCATTCCGGTCCAACGGAAAAGCTTAAGGATCGTCGCGAATGGAACGCTCATGACTCAATTCGCGCCAAGTCTCAATTCCCTGCGCGATTGAATAACAGCGACTCCGATAACGTCATCAATGTGAATAATTTAAAAAGTCTGAACGTTCCGAATTACGTTCAATCGCCGCCGAGATACAACGTGGTCCCGAGGCCGTTTTCCGTATTGCAGTCGCCCAATTCGCTCGTCGGCGCAAACGTCGACGCGCCGTACCGGAGACCGAGCTCCTCGCCGACGGGTTTCAAGCACCAGCAACAGCTCGCCCGTTCTTCTTCCGCGAACGTCCTCCCGCTGGTCCTCCCGACAGAACTTTTTAACCCGCCTTCGGCACGTCGTTACGTCCCGATAAAACGCGCGAATCACCTCAATCTTGAGGGAAATCCAGCGACGAGCGTGAGCACCGAAGCGAGTCCGCCGACGAGTTCCGTAGGGGAAAAAACTACCCTTGCGGATTACGACGCTGTTTATAAGGCCATAATTGGCACTACGAGGAGTTCTTTGGCCGACATTAATAGCCAGCGAGGCTACGGCTCGTCGGATTATTACGCTATTACGGAAAGTCCTACGGAGCGGGCTGTTACGAGGACGAGCTTGGCGGCAACTTATGCACCCGGTCAAACATCCGCTTCGTACGCAGAAGTTGAACGGCAGAAGGACGCGAAAGGGGTTCGCAAGCACGACTTTCTACCTGGAATCGCCAGCTACAACAGTCCCGGAAGCGATGGGAAATTGAATGAAAGTCCTGGAATCGCGCTCTATAACAAATTCGCGAGCTTATATACGACTGGCATACCTAACGTATTTAACGCGCCGAAAGCAATTACGCAAGACTTTAAGCAACCAGTACAGCCTTCGCAGCAGCAAGTTTCCGCCCTTCCTTACGCAACTTTAAAACCTCTTACTCCCACGTTGCTGCAAGTCCGACCGATTGCTGCCTCTAAATCTGCGCCGCATTACGACAGCAGGTTACTTGTCTCGCAAGACGGAAAATATGACGCGAGCAACGACAAAAACGACAAACCGAACGAGCATGTCAAAGGCGCAGACGTGACCGAGGAAGAAGACGACGACGACGACGGAGATTACAAGACTCAAATCAATCGAGAAGCTCACAAGATTTACAAGACTTGGAATAAACCGCGCGAGAAAGAAGATCGCGTGGAAGAGAGGGAAGATCGTTCTTCGCAGCAGAGCCGCAATCATCAGGACAAAGATGAACATTACAGATATGACGAAGATGACAAAAGTAGTAGAAATAATGACAGACGCGAAAAACATGGGAACGCTCGGCATGAAACTGACGATGCCGACGAAGAGGAGGTTGACGAGACGAAAGAGGACGAATATGTCGATACCGAGAAAGGCGGAGATGAAGACGATAATGATCCTCGTCATCGATACACTAAGTACGACAGAGAAAATTCTAATGAGGAACAACGCGAGAAACTAAGCTACGATCGTAAGAAATATAACAAGCCGAAAGACCGCCGCGACAAGCACGGAAGTGATGTCGTGGGTCGATTTGAAAGCAATAAAAGATACTTTGAAGCGCAGTATAACAATGACGATGACGAAACTCGGGGCAAAGAGTACGATCGCACCGATAAAAAGAAATTAGTGGGCGACAAGCAATACGGAAGAGATCGACAAGGTCGCGAGTATGAAGAACCCGACGACGAGAGCGTTGCTGAAGATAAACCGTTCACTCAACGTTTTAAAGATCAACGTGCTTACAGACGAGACGAAGAAGACGAAGAGGAGCAAAGCGATGACGGTGACAAGCGTAAACATCACTACCAGGTCTCCCCACGGAGAGACTCGCTTCGCAAAGGGCTCGCGCGCGAGGAATACGGCGAGAGTAATCCTACGCAGACACGCGAGGAATATCATCGTCAGCGCGTGAAGAATGAGCATCGCGATCGTCCTGGAAACGACGGAAATCAGGACGACGGTGAAGATGATCACGTGCACGGCGAGACTCAGGAACACGCGCACAAGCACGAGGAGCATCACGAGAAGAAGAAAGGCGGCGATCACCATTTTGAAAAAGGTGGAGGTGCGGAACATGAAGAGGAACATCATGGACACGAGGGAGAAAAAGGCGAGAAGGTAAACTGACCGTTTAAGCATCGCGTTCGTGCCTTGGACTTTATTTAGTTCCGGCGATTGACTACCCATTGAGAAATGATTCGTCTAATCGACATCGACATTGTCAAACTCGTATACCGTTTTCAACCTTGTTCTGCGTGCCGGTCTCTCTTCGGACCTAACACAGTTAAAATTTTAAGGTTCTCTAAGGTTTATCCAAATTGCCAAATCGACGAATGTTTTTCACTGGAAACAACGCTCTTGTTTACAGGGATATAAGGTTTGGCACGAGCACGAGAAGGCCGAGAAGGGCCACCACGACAAGGAGCAGGGCAGCAAGCACTACGACGAGAAAGCCGGCGAGGAGAAGAAGCACGAGGAGGAGGGTGGATACCACGAGGAGCATCATCATGGTGACGCGGGCAAGAAGACAGCGGAATTCGGCGAGAAAGGTGAACACAAGAAGGGCCACAGTACACACGGCGAACATTCGGTGCACAAGAAGGTAACGCGCGCGACACGGGAATTAGGGTAGACCGCGGCGAGTCGGATCACTTTTTGTTCAACACTAAGCTATAAACAACGTGCACGCACTGACTTTTGTTTTAGGAGCGGAGGAAGAAAGTCAGAGTGATATAACTTTCGATCGGAATGTAACAAATATAGACCCGGTATTCATAGTCGATTCTTATTTCATCAATTTCAAAATCATCTTAAGTGCTGTCTTAAAAGGCTAATACGGCTCTGTGATTGGTTAGAGACACATTAAGAGTATATTTAAGATGATCTTAAGTATAAGAATGAGCTATGAATGCCGGCCATAGTCTCTATCCAGTGATCCGATTCGCCTCGGTCTGCTCTATAATGAATTCTTAGTTGAACGGAAGAGTCAGGATCACGGCGATGTTTCGCCACTGCTGATTTCCGCAGGACGAATTCGAGAAGAAGACCGAGTTCTTCGACGAGTTCAACGAGGACGGTGGCGCGGAGAAGCACGGCGAGCACCACCACGATCACGAGTCGAAGAAGGGCGGCCACGAGAAGAAGGGCCATCACGACAGCGGCGACCACGAGGAGAAGTACGGCAAGGAGGAGAAGCACGAGAAGGGCGGCCATCATCACGAGCACAAGGGCCACAAGGTCGACGAGGGTCACGACCATCATTACGATCACGATCAGAAGTACGGCAAGAAGGAGGGGCACGAGCACGGGAAGAAGTGGAGCTTCAAGAAGGGCGACGGCGGCGGAGATCACAAGCACAATCGCTGAAGCGAGGGACATTGATCGCGATCGTTGCACCTCGATGCTAGTTCCGGAGCGGATCAATGTCGCGTCGATCAACGCTGATATTGATCGCGCGTAATCGAAATGTTATGTATTACTTTAGAGGGCGGTTCGCCCCGCCTGGCTGCTGTTACCTATATTGATCACCTACGATTGAGATATGACATATTATGCGCTTTAGCTTACGCTGTTGTATCTGGCTCCGGTTAAGCGGAAGTGAGTAATTGAAATGTCAAAGCGAGCGTTAGCTGAGGTGGAAGTAACCGATTGACCTATGCAAGTTGAATTCCCTGCAAATCCGGAAAACTCGTACCGTCGTAGACATATTTTTCTTGTTCCTGTTCGACGCTCGAATATAATCGCTCGCGACTAATTTAGATAAGATTTTTAACGTTAATTCTACGCGCGTTATTTGTTAGTTTCGTTTTATCCTTTGTGTTTCTCGATATATATTGCTTATATAAATATTTTCTTATTAATAAAACGTACATTTTAGTTAAACAAGAAACTAGGAAAAATGTCAGGCTTCTTAGGCTAAATTCTTACTTATCCGAGTTTAACTTCGCGGATATCTCTTGATCGCTAATGAAACGACACTCCGATAACGAAATATTCAATAAGCGTCGCGTGTTCCACCGATCATTCTCAATTAAAGGGTAATACAATTAATTAGGAAGCGGTGCTGCGCCATCGCGCGCAATTGAAGCTGCCGATGATGAAGTTGGCTGAAACTGCAATTTCTCCGTTAACTTCTCGTCTTCTCACTTACGTTTTCACCGTAAATGCGAAAGTGACTCCGTTTTATGTCACGTTAAAGGGATTAATATCCACATGGGGATGCAACACGGTAACAGGGCAGCGGAACAGTGCCATTTACGTCTCTTTAGCGCCTCTGGATGTGAGAGAGGTCGTTAAAAAATTTCTCTCTCCGGACGCTTGTAAGAATTCTCCGAAGTAGCCGTTTAACGAGTGTGACCGTAAGGATTAATTACGCGAGAGGTGCACCGGTCTCTCCCTCTCCCTCTCTCTCTCTGTCTCATCCTTTCCTCTCCCGTCCTGTTGCGCCGATAATACGCGCTCTTTCGTCTTCGTTGCCTGCGAGTACGAGTATCGATCGGACGCGTGGCATTCAGCCGGGAATCGCAGAAGGGACTTGAGCGAGAGAGAGCCGCGGATGCAAATGACAGACGATTTACGACCAGCACTTTATTACTTAAAGAAGCTATCGGTCTCTTTGGCAGTCGCGATAAAAGATCTCGAATGAGATCGGGTTAATATCGGAGCATCGTTAATGATCGAGTGACGTCGGGGCGCTCGGTGCCGATGATTGCCCGGCGTTTAAATCCACGTGGGAATCAACCAGCGAGCCTAGATTCGCCCGTTCTCGCGCCATCGTCGCGTATCGTCGCGCTATCGGGCCGATTTTTATGCTTTCACGAGGCAGATAATATCGGCATTAATAAGCCACGCAAAGTGCGGCTTTTACCTTTTTTTTTCCCCTCTCCTCCGCCCTTCCCTCTGTTCTTATCTGCTTAGTACTCCGCGCATGTGGGATGGAATGCGTCCGATAAATCCGGATAATGGACAAGTGAAATGCGTCTCTAATAGCGTCGCAGTTTAAATTTTTGCATGGAAAAACAGGACGGCGCGAATACGGCGGAGAGGCACGTTCCTGGAATCGCGCCGAGTTCCCGGCATTTTGCATTCTTGGCATTTACCCGTTGCAGGAATTACTCGCGTCCCAGCCCTTGTCTTTGACATAATAATTCGAGATATCAGTGTGATTATGAATTCTTAAGGGAACAGGAGGCAGAAGCAACAATCTTTTTGCGCTTTTCATTTGCGCTATTAGTTGCGATCTTCGCCAGAGGTATCGCGCGTCATGCCAAGGGGGTAACCACTAGCTAAAACGTTGTCCCACCGATTACGTGATTTCATTAGATTTCATACGCTTTCATCTGATTAGAAATAATTTCGGTGGCGAATGTGGCGCAGAGAAATGTACGCTGCTTAGTAAACAAATGAACGAAAAGACCCTAGTTCTAATCCACGGACACCGCTGGGTTCTCTCGGAATTTCCCGATGGAAAGTGGCAACCACCGAGAATGTCCTGCCACACATACCCTTTTAGGGGGTTTTCTTCGGCAAGGTTAGCAGCCTACCAAAGATGAAGTAAATCCAAATGCTCAAAGTACCAGAACGAACTGAATACAACAGGTTTTAAGCTTAATACTCGAGAAAGAAGAAGACCAATAATTTCATCTAATTGCAAATAATTTTCTTATATGCGCGTTTTAAAATAGGCGACGTTGTTAAGAACCGTTAGATTTCCTCAAAACATTATATCTTTTTGATTTTACTAATAGGTATTTGCTTGTAGAGGTAATTTCAATAAGGATTGTAGTATTCGGTTAGGTAGAAAACATGTTGCTTCCCACTTTTTCCACCAGTCTTACTGTGGTCTTGACGAGAAGTAATTTTGTATTCGTATCTACTGTTCATTGTTTAAAATTAGCGCGCAAAGGTGTGTCGACTCACTGTCCTAACAGCAACTACTTCAGTCTTATTATGAAAATAATACGCGCTTACATGCGTGAACTATGACATATATTTGGATATTCGCTAAGAGAAGTAAATTTTTTGAGAAAATGAAAACAAGTTGAGAAAATATTCAAACTTCCCAGCAAACACAAAGTAACAGTTACATAACTGTAAGTTAAAATTTTCTACTCAACAATATAACTGTTACATAACACACGTGTTATATAACATTTATTGTTGAGTAGGAAATTTTAACTTACAGTTATATAACTGTTACTTTGTGTTTGCTGGGTTGATGTTCATTGTCTAACAAGTGAAGAGACTTGAAAACGAAGGCAAAGCGATTACATGGAGATTTCGTAAGGATTTCATAATGATTTTGGAGACACTGTCCCATGATTACATTAAGCGGTTACCCCCTTGCGTCATGCGTTTGCCGCGGAGACCGACCAATGTCCGTTTCTACCGATGCAGAGTAACTTTAATCTCGGTTCAATTTACTTTATATCTCTTTTTAGTTTTGAAAATTAGATAAAGATAAGAAGTAATTTAAACCGAGATTAATCCGCATTGGTACAATGCAAATTTACCCCGAAAATCGTGTAATCGTGGGGCAACGTGGCGTTTTGAACAATTGTACGGCAGTTTTCTTGAAATTTTACCGTACATTCTATTGGTAAAATGTATGGTAAAATTTCAAAAAACCCTCAGAAAATGTTTCGAAATGCCGTATCCCACGATTTCGTCTTCAGGATAAATTTTAAGAAAAAATTCCCTCCGTGTACACGGAAAGAAAATTGTGGCTACCGTAGCTAAAAACTTCGTGTGGTAAAATTTTAGTTGTAAAATATGGACAGCTAACATTTAATTGTGATAGCTAATTGTATTAGGTGCGACAGCAAACCGTTTGCCGTGCTTCAGAAATTTATAGTTATGGTAGCAAAATATCCGCTGCGGTAGCGAAAAATTTTCTCTCAGTGTAGAAACGGGCATAAATAAGCTCGAGTGTTTTCGAATCCCCTTTTCGCCCGCTCACTATAAGCCAACTTTCCCCAACGTCTCCCTCGATATATTCATAGAATATCTTTCAAGTTTATTAGAGTCGTTTTCGCGCGATTGCCATTTCAAACGTTAAAGCGCGACACCGCGCGAACATGCGAAAGTTATTCACGTTCGCGAATCGCTAATGAGTTCTCTCGCGACGAGAGTCAATTCAAATTTGAGCCAACGAAATAATGCGAATCATGATCAATCGAGGCAGATAATTACGGACAAATTGATTAAACTTGGCGCCGGCCAGAGCAACTTGTATTAGCGCCCGAACAAAGTACAGCGCGCGCTTCGGAATATCCGTGATTTTCCATTATCCTGCGGATAATCGAAAGCGCACTGCGAGCAGAATCCAAACGCGTTGTGCATAACGTTCGCTGTACTTTCGCTACGCCTTAATATAAATGTTCGATAGCTCTCCCTCGTTACTTCCGCCAAGTTTCCGAAGTTGTCCGCGTTATCAAATCACACCGCGATTTTCCGTCCCGCGCGACTCGTCCCGCCGGCGTAAATATGCAAATACCCCGCCTCCGGATTTCCCTCATTTCCGCAGTCTTTTCGCAGGCAGAGACTTTAACGACGATACAGCGCGACGGAGAGTCCGGGGTGCGAGTCCGCCCGTTTACGAGGTGGTTTAGCCGGGAGATCCCGCGGAAATCCTCCGCCCGTAAAACGCTTAACCGCATCGCCGCGGACTTAGCACCCCTCGCGCGATCAGTGCGGCTTACGGGGCGGCTTTCGTCCAGCGCGAGGAGTCCCGTGTGCACGGATCACTTATGGCTCATTCGGACTGGACGAGATGGGCGATGAGCGACGCCCGAGATCCAATGGGCGTGCACTCTTTACAGGAAAACTGTACGCTTTTCCATGAAAACTGTACGCTCATTGGATAATCGCGCGTCGTCCATCGCTCATCGCGTCCAGTTCGAACGAGTCATTACGGGGGACGCGGGGGACGCGAGTTACGACGGTGCAATCGTGAGGGACGAGACCGGTCCGTCGGAGGAGGGTTGCAAATCGGGAGAGTACGCGAGGAAAGTGAGTTTCCGCGAGATGAAACCGGCGACATTCGAAGCAAGGAGCGTAATCCAATAAGAATGCAATTTACCTTTCATTTGTAGGGGAGCGTTGTAATACGCGGAGGCGTCAATTTACTCGCGCGCGGCGATATTCTGTAATAATCGCGTTCCCCCGCTCGAGTAGCCACACGTTTCCTCGCTGGGAGCGAGACACACTCGGTGTAACGACGTTCGATGGTATTATTTAAATTTATGCAAATTTTATGTGAAAAGTCAACGTACGTCAGCGCGACACAATTCCGTCATTATTATACACTCGCGGTCTTTTGCGGGATAAATCCCTTTGTATCTCGGTCGGGTAACAGCGCGGGATTAAAATCAAACGAAGCGGGTTCCGCGCCGGAAGTTCATTTTCCACGTCGCGGACGTGTTCGCGAGGTGGTACCATCCACCGATTACCCCCCTTTCGCCCCGTCGAACAATTCCGCCCGCCGTTGCAATTGGGCGGCGATCGGGACGCGCGGCGTCGCGTCATGCGTCGTCCCGTCTCGGCGTGAATCCGTCTTCACGCGTATACGCGCGAGAGGCGTCGCGACGCCTCATCCCCCGGCGAGCGCGAGGAGGGGTGAGTCGTACGCGGCTCCCCCCGGAGAGCGAGGAAGACGGGGACCTCCGTCATACACGCACAGGCGCCGACGCACACACACACGTATAAAGGCCGGCGTCGCGACGCTCTCGCCGTCATTCCCGCGCGCAGACACCGAAGTCGCGGCACCCGGCGTCGGACGTTCTCGTCGTCCTCGTCGTCGTCGTCGGTGACTCACTGAGGAAGTTAACCGTCGCACATCTTCGCAGGACGAAGAACCGTTCGATCCGCGAAACGAGAGTTCCATCCCCCCCTCCGGCAGGAAAGATACGCGGGGCACTTTCTCCCTTTTGACGGTTCGTGTGCCACCTTCGGCCTCTCACCTGCAGGGCCGCGCAGGATTCGCGCCGGCAGAATCTGACAGCAACAGGTGAGCATTTTGTCTCCCGAGACGCATCCCTTCTGTGTGCGCTGCACATTTTTTTTTACGGCCTCCTTTATCTCCCTTCCGTTCTCACTGTCAGTGTACTTTTCGCGAGGCAACGAGATCTCGGGATCTTCCTCGCGCCTTCAGTTTAATTGCCCGCATTCAATTTCCCGTAAGGCGATCGGTTTCGAGTCTCGCTTACTACTTGTCCACCGCATCGCACGGTGCCGCATTGACGGTCGCGAACTGAAGAAAATTGAAGCAAACTTCACCTCGGGTAGCAACATATCTTAGGGTGCGTCCGTTTCTCGCGTGATGCGCCTGATGCATCGTTTACCCTTGTTATTCGCCCAATGTTAAAGAAGGATAAGTGATACGTTATGCGCACCATGCGTGAAACGGAGCGCACCCATAGATTTGAAACGCGAGCGTTGAGTGGCGTGAACGCGTGAAAAAAGTTAGTTGAATGCCATAAAGGTTATAAAAAAAAATATGATATTTTAAAACAAAAGCTTTCAGCGCGTACAACAACCAATTTGAAATAATAACAGATGTGTCTGATGTACTTTGATCCGCTTTTTTTCTTTCTCTCTTTAATTTTCTGTTATATACGCGTGACATATAAGAGATTTCCCGTTGCGGTTTATCCTCTGTTCCATTATTTTTTTAATAATCCCTCTTTTTAATTCTTTATAAGCCGATTATACATTGCGATTGGTATATCATTCTATTTCACATAAGGATAAATGTTAAGATTAAGACCATATTAGTTCGAACATTTGCTGAACAGAGAGAGTGAATCGGTAAGCAATTTATCCATTTGACGACATGTATATTTCTCATCCTAAGCTCGCATTAAATCTTAATAAGCAATACCTTTTTGACTTGCAAGTGTTACACCTTCTTTGACGGTAGTAGCAACAGGTGAGAATGTTTTAAGGCTGTTCACCGAAGTTTCTGTTTGTTAATTGTGCTAATATTTTTCACCGTTTATTAAAAACGCTGCATTACTTACCGATTTCCACTTAAAAGATTCCTTAACGATCATATTTTTAATATTAACATATTTAGGATTCTATGAAAATGCACTAAAGACAAATTACAGATGCATAAAATAACGAAACACGAAAGACGTCATAACTTAAGGTATTAAGGTTTTGACACTTGCAAGTAGAAAGAGTAATAAGAAATTAAAAATGACAGTGCAGCGCTGCTATTATTATACGTTGCATTTCTCATCTCATGTCCCATTTTTTAAGACTCACTAATATTCTCTTGCAATTTATTTTTGTCTAATTATTATTAGTGCATAGTGAAACAGAAACGTTGTTTTATTATTGCACGTGCTAAATTATAATACGAATTAAAATCCACTTTGTCAAACATCAAATTCTAAAGCTGTTGTTCAAAATTGATATAGAATTTTCTTTAAACTTTTGTTGGTACTTTTTATTCAATTTATAAAAATCATAAAGTTATTCCCACATAGAGAGATGCAAATTTATTATATATACGTGTTACGTGTGTGTGTGTATTCTTTTAATAGCGTGCTCTTTTAAATTTGGGTGAGCAAATTGCGTAGGTTACCGGTGGGCGGTGCGAAAGACGACTGTCAAAAATACAAAGAAAAACGTTCTGTCCATCTTAGCCTGTCGTGTATGCAATTTTTTATATTTTTGACAAAACGTACTACGTATTACTTCTTTCATTAAGCTTTTCTAAATGTTACGAGTCACAAAAATCCAAAATGGAACATCATTGACGTCATTTATCTCCACCCGTAAAAAGATTGCAAACGACAATGTTCCGGCAATGACGCGTAAGCCCTTCCAGTACGGAAGACGACGGGATTTGCCTGAGAAAGGTTACGAATTTCGGAAAGCAAAGAACAAAGGACCGGGTGCAATAGGTCGCGCGATCAAGCGAGAAACTTGTTGGACTGTCACGGGAGATTGAGATCGCCCGCTCGCGCGAGAAGCATATATGAATAAATCTAAATTCCCGTTCGCGTTATCGCGTTCGCTCCAATTTCCGAGATTTCGCAAGAAACCGATCCCTCTCTTCTTTCCGGCGAAACTCAACGCTCCTTCGCGCGACACTTTAATGCAATGCTTTTCGCCGGGAAAATGAACTTCCCTGACTGAATGCCGACACCTGAGTAATGGAGAGCTTACCTGGCGGCGGAGAATCGAAGATTAAGTTATACCGCTATTGTCACCGGCGTGCGACAGAATGAATGATCGTCGGCATTTCTGAAGAAGGAGCCAACTGAACAACACGCGTGCCTGTCACGTAACATGACATAGGGAACACTTAGAGAATGAGAGCGTGGTCTAACTTTAGCGATTATTAGATTCGACATTACATTCGCGGTAATTTGTCACATCACCGACGTGAGGATACATGTGTACTGGAAAGTTGAAACGGGAGAGGATGAGAACAGAAGGAATTTGCATCGAGCACTTCTTTCTTGGCTCCTTCGTCTTGAAAGTGTCGCCTTTTGCGGAGATTATTATACATTATTGAGTACTGAAGAAGGAAAACGATCGGCGGATGTCGTTTTACTCAAATTTCCTACTGTTCTTTCTCCTTACATTCTCGCCGAGGACACGAAACATAATGAAACAGTGGCGCGACAACGCTGCGACAATGAGACGTCGACAGTCCTTATTATGCACGTAATTGTATTATGCGCACAACGTTCTCATTGCTATCGCGATAAGAAACGTTAGCTCCTAATAAGACTCCGGGGATGCAAAATTATTGTTCGCAAGGTTTCATCTCTGTACAAGCATCGTAGCATTCTTTTACTCTGAATAAAACTAATGAATTTTGAAAGAAAAAAGAATATACAAAACGAGGACCGCGCAATATGCAGGTATTTCTTTTGACGAACAATATGTGGCGTGTAACATGCAGATTGTAATTTTAGCGAGAGCGAGAGAGAGAAAGGGGAGGACAGAGGGAGAGGAAAGCTTTTCTATTCAATAGTGCACTGAGAAAAAAGTCTTTGACAATTTATTTGTGGCATACTGTTTATTTCACTGAAATGAACATTATTTGTGGCATATAATGTTTATTTCAGTGAAATAAATATTACATGCCATAAATAAATTTTCAAAGACTTTTTTCTCGGTGTGGGAAAAGAAAGGACCGCTGACTGACCGGTTATGAAGCTCCGTCACTGGAAAAACGGATGTAGGCAGCAATCTCGGTGCGTGCGTTTAATGGGTGCGTCTGGCGGGGAAGATGGGTAAAATGTGAGAAAGGGAGGAAAAAAAGAAAGGGGAGACCGCGCCGTTAGGCGCCGGTTATTGGATCGCCGTTATTGCCGGACTTGTTTGCCGCTCGTAAGTCGCTACTTGCCTTGTTCTGCGTCATTTATTAGCTCGCCTCGGGCTGACGCATTATTTTGTGCGAGCGAAATCCGAAACTGCGCTAAAACCGGGTCGTCGCACGGAAAAGAACGCGCGGCGACAGCGGCAACAGCTGTTGCTGCTGTTGCGACGAAGTGTGCATCCCCGTAAAGTTCACTGCGTTTAAAGCCCGACATTTTACGATACCTACTTGCGAAGTGCTGCACGTACCGCCGGAGCCAATTGATTGAGATCTTAATTTCTAAATGCGCTAGAATTAAACTCATTGTCCGGAGTTCGCGGAGCGTCTCGCGAGAGGTAAGACGGGGTCGCCGCTTGGACTTTCTGCAACTTTCAACTTTTGGAAAGAAAAGTCGATTACAAAGATTACGAATATTTAATATAAATCATTGGGCGTGACTTGTGAAAAAGATGAATAATTTTTTTATTGTGGCGAGTGTGGCGCAGAGAAATGTGCGCTGCTTGGTAAACAAAATGAGCGAAAAGATCCGAGTACAAATCCACGGACACCGCTGCTCTTTTTCGGAATCTCCCGAAGGGAAGGTGGCAACCACCGAGAGTATCTTGCCACACATACCCCTTCAGGGGTTAGCCATTCCAGATGGGAGGTTTCCTTCGGTTAGCAGCCTACCGAAGATGAAGTAAACCCAAATGCTCAAAGTACCGGAACTGGATAAAACAGGCTTTGAGCCTAATACACGAGGAAGAAGAAGAATTTTGTTATCATTAATACGCGTTCCCGAGAAAAGGGGTACTTTCTCGTATCTTATTGAATGAATAATTTTCTAATTTTTATTTCGTATCTGTTTCCTCGATGTCGCACCCTTTCGCGTCTTGAGAAAAAAACCAGAAAATTCGGGAAGTTGTCACGCGCAATGCATATTTACGGCACCCCCGTGTCTTGAGAAGGTTAGTTATTCGCTGCAACGCCACACGCATGTTTTCTCGCAATATTGCTCGCACGCTTCTTTGTAGACAACAATGTTGCAAAGTAAATAGAAGGGGGGAGGGGGGTGCCCTCAGGACAGTCCTGGATATATATAGAGGACACAATATCGCGCGAGAAAGAACAAAGTAACGTACGTTATCTCGTACCTCGCACCTGTTTTCCTTACCGCAAGATTTTACGCCACGCCGTAAAGTCTTCTTCCGCGTGGCCGCACGTCCGCAAACGGCTTCGTCATTAATTTCGTTTGCTCGCTGTCGTTAGCGTCGCCGTCTTTAATTATGGCGGTAACTCATGAGCCTTTGACGGCTTCTCGATGCGGCATTAAACGCCTCGTGTTGCCTTGTTATACGGCGGCGCGTTTCTTTGCACTATGTTAATTAGTGGTTTCGCGGCTTGATAATTCGCAAGCCTTTATCGAGGCGGCCGGTCACGTGCGTTCGATCAGATTTCCCTCGTTCGTGCCTTCCGCGATTTAAACGGTACACACGAAACTGACGAATTTGACGTGGCGCTACATTACGCTATTTGGAGAGAAATAGCTCTGCGAAAAAAGACAGCAACCCATTTTGGGGCCCACAATTAGTAAGCGAATTATTTGGATTGTTCGTAACAATCTAACTTTTATCCCGCGCAATTAAAAATCGCAATTATAGCTATTCTGTCTGTATCCACGATTT